ATGTTATTCATTTTTTTACAAATTAAACCAACCCTTGCTTGTGGTATACATCGAACTAAGAATCCAACTCTAAGTTAGTGGAAAAATGACAATTAGTATTTTAGAAACCTTGTAGTGTACTCCTTCATTTGTTTACCCAATAAGTGGTCGTGTCAAATACTGGTTTGTATTAATCTACTGAGAATTTGTGCCTAACGTACGATGACCGTTGCCATTGTTGGTTCTTTCATTGCTGATGTAACTCTCAAACGTTTCTAGGAAGAAAAGAACAATGAAAGTCGTATTTAGAAGAATTTATGTGCCTTCCACTTTGTAATTTATGATAAATTTGTCTTAGAAATATGGCATAAATAGTGGACTACATCATCCTTAACTGTCACCAAACTTGTAGCAGTTTTTTTCAATTTCTTTTGTCGGTTTCGAAGCTACTAGTTCAGAAACAGGCCATATTCCATTAAGATTGCACCATGCTTTCAGCAATGATTTGATGTCAATGGGATTTTCTTTCCTCGTTTTTTTTTTCCTTTTTTTGGTTACATTCTTTCCTCGTTTTTTCTTTTCTTTTTTTGGTTACATTCTTTCCTCGTTTTTTCTGCTATCTTTCTGGCCCCCATGTGTAATATGGTAATTATAATGATAATTTAACAATTAGTCAATTATTATGTTTTTATTCCTTAATTGGGTATCTAATGAGTAATCATATGTAGAAAGGAAAGGAATGAGATGTAATGAAATATAATAAAATTATCATGTTATGACTTGAGTATTTTATAATAGAACTGAATTGTATGGACTAAGGAGTTTATAGATATATCTTATAAGGGTGAAGTATGTTTATGTAGGGGTGCTTTCATAGTGGTAATGATAGAGACCAAAGACCTAGTAAAGCAGGTATACTGCAAAGTGGGAGTGTGTGAGAGTAACTAAGATGACTTCACATTTACATTGAGTAACAGCTTCTGAAGAGAGTAGATGAGAATATGCGCCTTCAATGTGTGTGGGAAATATTTAGATAGAGTGATCCCTCTGTGAAGCGTGTGAAAGAAGATGTGGAGAGCTGTCACCTAACCAGCCTAGCCTATGACCCATTGCTATGTAAAGGGGCAGCAGTGCAAGGGAAAAAAAAGGGATCCTATGCTGATGAGGATAAGAGAGAGGACAATTACAAGTAGTATAAAATATATAAAATAAAAATAAAAATTAATATACTAGACTAGCCTGAGAGGCTCTAAGGCTGAGCTTGGAGACTGAGGCATTTTTATTAAATGAGCTTTTATACAAATTCAAACATGATTCCAACAACTAATTTTAGACATGTAAGCTTATGCCTTCACGAGCCGAGTCAAAGGCCCCCGGTTCGTTTATCACCTCTACTGTCCATAATCTCTTCATATGGCAAATGGATAAGCTCGACCTCACTAGTTATGATTCTAAATATTGAATCGAAGAAACAACTAAAAAAGAGAGAAGCAAGCACTACAAATTGGATCTGAATCCTCTTATGTTAAAAAAAAAAGGATGATATGATCGTATGAGAAATCATAACCATACAAAGAGTGAAAAAATATTGAAATAGGTAGTTACAAAATCATAACTGTTGATTCAACTTTGTATAGTTGTGATCTTCTCACATGACCATGTCATTTTTTTCACATAAGAGGATCAATTTTCCTACAAATTAATTAAGCACAATATTGGAACAGATCGAATAGGAATAAAAAAAATTCATTAAACAAATTAAAAGAAAAATAAATAAAGGGGCAGGATCTTCTTACATCATTGTAAGAATAATAAATTTTATACTCAATCTTAACCATTGATTTTTGTAAATTTGACGGATGTAATTTATTGAATTAATTAATAAAAATAATTCATCAATTACAGTCGTTTGATTGACAGAAATTTACAACTAAAATTAAGTGTGAGACTTATTATTCTTATACCAATATAAGTTGATCCTCTCCCATAAATAAATTATCCAAATATTTTGTTCAACACACACATGCTAATAAAGTATTCGGTTCTAGATTACCAAAAAAAAAAAAAGTATTCGGTTCTATGTGTACTTTTTATGGTAATATTTGCAGATTATTCTATCTTCACGAGACAAGTCTTGACTTACGATATTTTCTTGAATGTTGGTCTTACCAACATTCTAAACACACAAATAAAATATTCAAATACAAAACGATTATTACGGTCGTACATGACATATCATCGTATATTTTCTTCTAATTTTTAGAAGAACGTTCAAATTCTGTATTTCGGAAACTTTCTTATGAAAATTCAAATTCTGTATGACAGTTTCCCTTACTTTTCACTATGAATCATTTTTAATCAATAAGGAGATGTATACATATATGATTGGATAGGGAAAAAAAAGTGGTTTTATATGGGAGAGGTTATAAAAAGTTAATTTTTGAAACATAAAAGTATAAAAAGTTTGTTTGCTTTCAGCAATTTCCATATTGCAGAGACTAAACACATATATTTTTAAAAAATGTATTTTCGTATGAAACATGTTATATTTACAACTTCTTTTTTCTTATAACTTTTTACAATTATTTTTATGGTTATTGGATAAAAATCAAATCAACAGTTCATATTTAATATTATTTTATAATCCTTGATTTGATTTTGTTCCAATAATCATATGATTGTAAGAGAAAAAAATTGTAAATATAACTCCTCTTTTTCCATATATATTTTTGGTTGAGATCCGTGGAAGTGAGAATTTTAATTTAGCAAAAAATACAAAAAGTAAATAAAAAATTAAGGGAATAAAGTAATTAACTATTATGATAGCAATTTGTTTTTAAAAAAATAATCATGTGACTATAGCAGTCCAAGTCAATAACAGGCCTAAGAGAGAGAGAAAGAGACCCAAATATCTTCAGGAGGACGGGAACTAAAAGCCCAGTGGACAATGCCAGGACTCAGGAGCAAACCAGTTGGGCTAGGATACACTGACCTTTGTACCACTGTTAGAAGATAAATTTACTTAAATGTCACGTCAAAAAACAATTTTATCAAACTGTCACGAAGGCAAGTTCGCCCAGAGCAGTAACAAATTTGGTATGCTGATGTGTCAGCTTCCTGTGGTGTCCGAGTTCGCTTCTGACACAGGCGACCTTGGTTGAAATTAATGCTTCACTTGTCAGGCCACGTGGCTTGCATCCAGTAGAGGTCGCCTGTGTCAGAAGCGAACTCTGACACCACCAGGAAGCTGACACATCTGCATACCAAGTTCGCACTGCTCTGGGCGAACTTGCCCTCGTGAAAGTTTGGTAAAAAAAAATTTTGACGTGGCATTAGGTAAATTTGTCTTGGAACAGTGGCACAACGGTCACTGTTCCATAGTTTAAAGGGTTCAGGATAATAGATTACGATATTTTAAATAACAGAACTAGCTTACTTTGATTTAAGTTATATTGATCGTAATATTATCTAGTCAGTAGTTGTTAGGATTCTATTATCTCATCTTGTTGTCACCAACTAGTATTAGGATTGTTATGATTCTTTATTTATTCAGAAGAAAACTGATCGAATAAACAAGTTTGTTTGATCTCCAGATTCTCATATATATCATTCTTCTTTCTGCTGCTCACTGTTTTTCTTCTCTAAATTTTTCCCATAATCATCTCCCTTCAGTGATCTTTAACTAACTTTTATTTTTTTGATCATAACTTAACGATAAGAAAAAAAAAAACTATTAACATGCATGTTACTTGCAAATTTCTCCCATTGTCATCTCCCTTCAGTGACTCTTAACTAACTTTTATTCTTTGATCACACAACTTAACGATAAGAAGAAAAAAAACTATTAACATGTGTCTCTTTAAAAAGAAGATAATGTAGCAAATGCATGTTACTTGCAAATTTAAAAAGTATTACATTGAATGAGTAGTAGCAGCATTCCGATAGGCATTTCCAATAATAATTAGACCGTTAAAAAGAGCAGTTATAGAAATCTTGTTAATTGAGTTAATTTTAATTTTAATTTTTTTTCCTACTTCCAATAAAAACCTTTATTGGATGAATATGGAAATGAACACCTATGCTGTTGCTATAGAAATGTTAAGCATGAAATAAAGATAAAGCTTTGACTTGTGTATAAAGTATATATAGCACATGTATCAAGCGTAAAATTCGAATATAAAGTTAATTTAGATTATTTTTTTAAATTGTGATAAGACTGCTACCATATAGTGTTATGAATTATGAAATATACAAACGTTATTTTGATATGATTTATCTTTTTTTTAGTATTTTACTAAAGCATTGTACTCAACTACTCATACAAAAAAAATAATTTTTAAAGTAATTTATCTAATTTGCATTAATTACTAATATTTAACAATAACTACGTAAATTTTAAAATATTTTAAAGAGAAAAGTATTTTTTCATTAATCGAAGATAAAGTCATCTCCAATAAACTTAAAACGACGTCGTTTTAAAGTTATAAGATTAAAAAATATAATGATAAAGACTAATATAACCTTGTAATATATTAAAATTACAAAAATACCTTGATTTCTGCTTCAAAACGACATCGTTTTGAGCTCTAACTTATTTCAATTGATCGGAAAAATCATTTATCTTATTTTAAAATACACATCTTACAATTGGTTATGGAAGACGGATATGTATTTCTTTATTGAAGTTATTTGATATTTCGCTCAATTGATTACATCCTCTGAAGAATTAAGTTCATAAATTCAAAACCAAAACAAAATTAAATTCACCGCCTGATCAGGGCCAATAAGGGGAGGAAGAAAAAAACAAAAGCAAGCACCCTTTGATTTTATATATTAAAATCCTCCGCTCACACTTGCTAGTCGGGGGATCGAGTGGTTAAATATATTAAAATCCTCCAAATATAAACACTGAAAACCATCTAAAAAAAGAGAAAATAACAAACAGTAAACATTAAAATAAGATGTGAAAAATTGTCTAAACACACGGTTACTACTAACTAGCAAATTAACCTAGCTAAAATTCAAATTTCAGGGTCTGCAGACTGTTTCTCATCAGTGGAAGCCACGAATTTCTTCCAGTAAGGGTGATTCTCCCACACAACTGTCATCTCTTCAATTGGAACACCCTTTGTCTCTGGTAGAAACTTGTATATGAAAGCGGTCATCATAGCAACAAAAAAAGCAAAGAAGATGAACAACCCGAATTTCATGTGGCAGAGCATGGAGGTGAAAATTTGAGCAATGACAAAGGTGAAGATCATGTTGGTAGAGACAGTGACACTCTGAGCAGCAGATCGCACTTCGAGTGGGAAAATCTCACTGGGTATCAGCCACCCTAGAGGACCCCAAGACCATGCAAATGCTGCCACGTACACGCAGATACATATCACAACAAGTATAGCATACCACTTGGGCAACTCACCTGGATTTCCATCCACTCCAAATTTAGATGCAATTGCCACAGCTGTCACAATCTGTGCAAAACAAATATACATTAGTAAAAACATTTAAATTTAAAGTATAATTTTCTTTTTCATATAAAAAAAGTTAATTAATTAATGTACCTGACATATAAACATTTGAATACCGCCTTCTAAGAAAAGAGTACGTCTACCGAACTTATCAACAGTAGCAATAGAAACAAAGGTGGCGAGTGCGTTAGTTGCTCCGGTAATCATGGCAGACATAAGGGAAGCAGTGGCACCAAAACCAATAGTTTTAAACAAAACGGGAGCATAAAATGTTATGACATTATTGCCAGTGAGTTGTTGGAAGAAGGGAATGGCTAAGGCCATCGTGAGCTGAGGCCTATAGCGCCTCTTCAACAATGTGGCCCAAGGATTTTTCACAGCTCTTGAGGCTTCACTAGCTGCAACCAAATCTTCAAACTCCTCATCAACGTCACGAGTGCCACGAATCTTAATCAATTCTTCCTTGGCCTGTTCATCAAGACCACGCTCAATCAATGAACTTGGCGTGTCAGGAAGGAAGATTGCACCTATAATGATCATTATCGCAGGGACTGCGGCAAAACCCAAGCTGTAGCGCCAGCCTTGCCCATTCCTCATTTGTGAAAAAAGAAAGTTGAGAACATTGGCCACAAAGATGCCTATAGTTATTGCCAACTGGAACATCATGTTAAGAGCTCCTCTGTACTTGTAGGGAGCAACCTCGGACACATAGATTGGCACAGACTGTAAACATAAATAATGACATGCACAAAAAATGTTTTATATAACATAAATTGAGACCTAAATCTTAAAAAAAAAAAAAATATAATAATAATTATATATTATATATTATTACCTGATTGGCACATCCAATTCCGAAACCAAGTAACATGCGGCCAACGATAAGCATCGAAACGTTTTGAGCGAAGCCATTCAAGGCAGCACCAGCAAGAAAAAGAACACCACCAGAAATCATGGTAAGACGCCTTCCAAATACTCGAGTTATGGTGGATGCACCAATTGATGCCACAAGAGCAGCCAGATAGAGAGAGGAAGTAAACAATGTTAATATTTGGCTATTGAATGTGCAGTACTGGTTATCAGAGGGCTTTAAGTTATGCTCTTTTGCATACACCTCTGGGAAGAATTCCATCAGAAAAGGATCCATAGATGTAACTCCACCTGCACATATATAATCATGCCATTAGTAAACAAAATATCATATTTTTCTTAGAATTCATCAGATCATATCTGAGAGTACCACTTTCAAGTACTGAAAAACAAGATATTAAAAATGTTACCTGATATACCGAGATCGTACCCGAATATGAGGCCTCCAAAGGCCGCAATCACACATGTGACTAGAACTCTGAAAGTTAATTTACCGGGATAAGCTTTACCCTTTGAAGAGCCATTCCCAATGAAACCCCCTGCCATTGTGCTGATACAGATGAGTCACAAAAAGAAAGAAAAAAATGACGATGAGTTTGAAGACTTGCTGGGATATTAATAGATAAAGTGAAGATCCGGATAGAAAGGATATTTAGTGTTATCTTTCATCCCAATGCTATTCGTTAGTTATTATGATGTGCCTATCTTTCTGTTGCACCGGATTTGAAGGATTATTTGGATAAGAATTTTTACACAGGATTTGAAGGATTATTTGGATAAGAATTTTTACACCGGATTTCAAAGGAGAGCCACGTTATGCTTAGGTAGCGACTCAATATCGATTGCATGGAGTTGTTTATAGTAAGTTGTTTATAATCGGTTTTGACAAAAACTAAATCGAATCGGTTTTAAGCGATTTGGAACTCAATCAATTTTTTTTCTTAAACAAACTTTTATTTATCCAAATCAGTTTGAAACTAATTCCAAAACCGGTTTATAGTTCAAAATCGGTTTTTATTTAAAATCAATCAAAATTGATTTTGAACCGGTTTTAATTTAAAACCGATTTTAAATCAAAATCGATTATGAACCATAAATCGGTTATCAAGTTCAAAACCAGTTTTATAACTTCTTCAAAACCGGTTTTTGATGAGTTGAGTTATTATTATTTTTGAAAAAAAAAAGATACCTTTATTATTTGATTTTTCCTATATTTATTAAGATAGTCAAACTTTTAAAACAAGGTATCTTGTTATCAAAAAAAAAAAAAAAAAAACAAGGTATCAAACGAAAAATATATGATAATGTAAAACAAATTTTATATTAATAATATTTCAAAATTCAATTTCATTTACACTTACAAATGATTTCATTTTGATGCATAATGTAAAACACATTTTACACTTATATGCAATAATATAGTATAACATCACGAGTATGTCACATGTTAAAATAATAAAAACAAATATTTAATATTAATTGTAATTACTTAAGAAAAAAGGGATAAACAATTTTTTAGGTTATTAAAAAATTATATACTTATAATTTTTGGAGAAGATTATAGTTATTACCTCTTTTTTTTACTACTTGTTACTACTAAATTGTAACTGTTGATTTCCGTCAATCTAACAGTTATAATCTATTGAAAATTAATAATTAATTAATAAGGATGACCCAATAAATTATAACTGTTAGATTGATAGAAATCAACGGTTATGATTTAGTAGTAAGAAGAAGAGATAGTAACTATAAACTCTCCCATATTTTTTATTTAAAAGCTCAAAAAAACAAAACAAAACAAACTATAAAGTCGGAGTAGTGGCCGGCGGCACCAAGGATGCACTCGACGAAGGAAGTTAAGGAGGAGTTGGAGAACACGTCCAACACTTCGGCAAGCATCACAGGGATATGAATATGAGTATGAGTACGAGAGGAGTTTTCTCCTCCAACTCCTCCATAGCAACGCTCGATTATAGCGTATGTCCTTGTCGAATTGTTTGTCGGAACGGGTCCTTCTCTTCTCCTTCGCCAACGCTGCTGCTTTCACCTTCTTCTATTTTCTAAAATAGCGGTGGTCGCAGAAGATGAGGAATCGTGACTGGAAGGTGGGTGGCGAAATCAAACAAGAGATTTGAAAATTTGGGAGTTAGGTTCATGTGATCAGAAATGAGAGATTCAGAATATTGAAGAAGGGTTAAAAAGTAAAAATAAAAAATGACTAAAAAAGTTGATATGGTTTGGTTATTTTGGATATCTAAACTGTAGTGAAAATGGATAACTGAACCAAAATCAAAATTAAAAAATTGGATTAATTTTTTAAATCATTTTATTAAAATCGGTTTTTGAAACTGGTTTGGTTCAGTTTTATGGATTGGTTTGGATCATTTGATTTTTTTTAACACTCCTGGGCCTGAGACCCAGTTATATTTCAACAAATTTTATTTATTATATATAATTTTATAAGTAATTATAATTGGGCCCTAGCTCAAATTATAAGTTGGCCTTAGCTAAATTTATAACAATGGTAAAAGACGAAGATTTTGAGCTGCTTTGGGTGTGCATGACAACCATTCTATTCTCTAACACTGTTTCTGAAAAGAAACAATTCTTTTCTATTTCTGTGTCTTGGAACAGTTTCTGAGAAAAAAAAAAGTGTTTGATAACACATTCTATTTTTATTCCAAGAATGAGAATTGTGTTTGATAACACAACAAATAATATAATAAAAAATAATTCCTATTAAATATAAAAAAAAATTGGATCATCACTTTCTTTTCCATATGGTGTGGTTGTGATGGTGGCAGCGGCGGCGGTACGGTAGTGGTGGTGGTTGTGACGACAGTGGATGCGACGATGACTGTGGTAATTGTGGCGGCGACAGTGGTAGTGGTGGGGATAGTGGTGGTGGAGGTGACGACAGTGGTTGCGACAATGATAATGGGTAAGGTGGTTGGTGGCGGCAACAATGGTAGCAGTGGCATGGTGGTAGTGGTTGTGAAGGCATCATGGTTGTGGTGGTGGCAGTGGCTGCGACGGTGGTTGTAGGTGACAGTGGAGGTGGCGGTGGTGGCAGTGGCGTGGTGATAGTAGTGACAGGGGTGGTGTAATGGTGGTGATGGTGGTGGTGGTGACGGTAGTAATAGTGGTTGGTGGCGGCGGCGGCGACAACGATGGTGGTGACGGTAGTGGTTGCGGCAATAGTAGTGGTGGTTGGTGACGCGGTGGTGATGGTAGTGGTGGCCTTGTTGTGGTGGTAGTGATGGCGATGGTGGTGGTGGTTGCGATGGTGGTAGTGATGGTGGTGGTGGTGGCGGCGGCGGAAGTTGTGGTGGTGGTGAGGGGTGGTGACGACGACACTAGTGGTACGATGGTGATGGTGATGATAGTAGAGGTGGAGAGTGGTTGAGAGGGATAAGTATTTCTCATTTTGTGCTCGAGAATAAAAAAGCAAAAAAAATTTGATTCTTTTTTCTGTTCCCCAGCACAAAAATTAAACCGGTTCATCCCGGGAACAAAAAAATAAACTGATTTTACCAAACGAGTTCCCTATCCATTTCTGTTTCCGGGAACAGAAATTAAAAAAGAATTGATTCCGGGAAGGTTGTCATGCACACCCTTTATGTGTGTGACCAGATAACATATTGCTTTCTTCTTAATTTCTTATTCTTCTTTCATCCTTTTCTAATTAGGGTTTTCTTCTAACTTTTTTTTTCTTATTCGCACACACCACCCGGAACCCAGCCATTCTACGACAATGTACGATGTTTCGTTCCTTTCTCAAGATTTTTCGGATACATGTTCTTAGAATATGCATTGTTAATTATATTATCTGCTAGGGAAAAATTGATTAACATTTTTTAATATTGTAAAAGAGAAATTTTTTGTCTTTGCTGACCATAATTGTTTATTGGGTGTTTCAAACATGAGTGAAATTCATGTCCTTTTTTTTATTTACAACTTTTTGTGTGGTTGATTTATTGATTTTATTTCTTTTGAAAAATGGAGTGTTGTTTTACGTTTACCTTTTAAAATAAAAATAGTTTAATATAGAGCTACAGTTGCTATTGGTAATGAAATTGAATTGTTTCTTGGTGTTATTTGTATTTGATTTCACAACAGGAATAAAAGATTTGGCGATTAATCAGTGAAAACTCTTAAAGAGAAAATTCAATGAAGATATATGTATATATATGTAGTATGAAAATTTCTTGGACATACCCATTAATAAATTCTTTGTTTATTTTTTGTATTTTTAAATTTTTTTAAATATTAAAACATTGATTAAATGATTTATGTGGATCCAATGTCATTTAAATGATTTTAGACATTTGTTGTTATTGTTCCATGTTTCTTTTTAATCGTGAAGTTTGCTTTGTCCCTCTACGATGATGTTCTTCACAAGTTACAACTAGGGGTGTAAATAGGGCAGGTTAGGCCTGCAGGCTTGATTTAGAGCCTATACTGACCTATTAGCCTATTAAAGGCTTGATTTATTGGTTTGGCCTGACTTATTATAAAAAACTAAAAAACCTAATGCGTCTTGTAAGGCCTAACAAGTTGCAAACTAAGGCGGTGTACTCGATTAGGATTTCAGAGGATTTTAATGGATTATTTTTTGACAAAAAAATCCATTGGTATTCAATTAGGGTATTAAAAGATTGAAAAAAAGTCATGTGGTATTCTATTAGGATTTTAAAATATTAATTTACACTCTGTCCAAATCCGTTGGTATTCAATCAGGATTTTAAACAAACGAAAAACAATATTGTGGTATTCAAAAATCTGACGATTTAAATGGATTTTTCATTGGTGCAGATTTGGTGAGACTTTTTAGTGAGAAATATAAATAAGATGTCTTTCTCACAATTTCACCCTAACCCCTAGGATTTCTTGAGATTTCTCTATTGCAGTGTCTCACAATCTACTCTAGCATTTTTTCAAAGCCAAGTTATGTTCTTTTTTTACCATATATTTTCTCATGTTTGGTATTCCTCCTTCATGATTAATGATTGTGTTTGTCGTATGTATTTACCAGGTTTTGGTATTCCTCCTTCATGATTAATGATGTGCTTCATTATTATTTTTTACCAGAGTTGTATAGAGTTGACGATAAACATGTATCTAATCTCTAAAATTGAACTAACAAGTTTACCACATATATTCTTTGTTGACCTTCTTCTTTTGTATATTGTTTGGATTATAATGAGCATAAAATCCTAATATTCTTTGTGTTGGGCAATGATACATATTAAAAATCTTAATAATCTGGTGGCAAGCTCAATTAAAAATCCTAATAATACTAATATTCTTCGTGTTCAATCTTCGTCATGCATCATTGAGAAATGTAATTGAGAGGATATTTGACATATTTAAATCGCGGTTCACAATTTTTTAGTCAGCACCTCCATTTTCATTTAAAACACAAGCAGAGCTTATGCTAGCATGTGTAGCACTACATAACTTTCTTCGCAAAGAATGTTGTTCAGATAAATTTTCAATTCAATCAGTAGATGCATATTCATCTTCAGTATTACCAATTAATGAAG